GAAATACAATAAACACATGTTCCTACCATTTCTTCTTGGAGCCTTTTAAATTTAATTGAAAACCTTTACAAGGCGTTTGGTTGAAGGGAATTTAAATTCCCTTCCCACTTAATTCCCACCTAATTTCAAAGGCCACAAAATTCCCTTGTTTGGTTGAAAGGAATTGCAATTCCATGGAATTGCAATTCCCCCATTTTCATGGAATTAAAATCTCATGTCCCCTTGAGATTTTAATTCTTGGAATTTTAGGAAGAAAAAAAGATAGTGATGAGTCAACACTATCCCTCCCTTTTTTAACCTAAAATTAATGTCTGACAACAACAATGGACATTTTGGACTTTATACTACTTATTCCCTTTCAATTCCTATGTATACCAAACATTGGAATTGAAATTCCCAGTAATTCTATTCCTGTAAACCAAAACTAGAATTTAAATTCCCACTTTATTCCCAGTAATTCATCTCCCATGGAATTGCAATTCCTTTCTCACGTAATTCCCCATCTCCAACCAAACGCCCTGTTAGTTTTTATTTCTAAACTAACTAGGTAAAAATGAAATATTGGGCTTCTAAAATTTGGGGCCGCTGTAAAAATGAAATATTGGGCTTCTAAAATTTGGGGCCGCTCTAAAATTTGGGGCCCTGTGCGGTAGCCCAGCTTGCACAGCCCAAAATCTGGGCATGAAGATATGTTTAAAATAAATCAAATAAACTTTACCAATATATAAGTACACATTCATGGCATATTCTCAAGATATTTTTTGTGCACTTCATAATAGTATGTGGTTTAAAAGCATTTTAAAATTCAAAGTATAACCACAACTTATATACTTAATGATTGACACATAAAATTTTGCAAGATTGGACAATTAAGAAGATCAAGTGTACCAAGACTATGTGGTCTAATGGTATCCGCGTTGGACTTCCATTTGGAGGGTTGGACTTCCATTTGGAAGGTTGTGAGTTCGAGCCTCAGCGGAGGTGTTATTGATTCTTTATGTTTCAGTAGGTTGAGAAAGTATATGAACAGATACTACATTGTAATAGAGCCAGTAGCATTCAAAAAAAAAAAAGAAGATCAAGTGTTCAAAGTCTTATATACTAAAAAATAGTTTGAGCTTGGAGAATATAAAACAAAACAATTCGAAGATAATTTGTAACGATAGGATCAAATAGATATACAATGATATAGAAAATAATTCAATTAATTATTAATTATGATAGAAATTGAAAAAAAAAATATTTATTTAGATCTCATATATATTCCAACCAAAGCACACAAAATGGAGTATTTAATTTATCAGAATTTAAGTGTCCATCTAAACATTTAACAATTGAGATAATTGATTATCTAAACAGTAATAGAAAAAATAGTGATAAATAATTAACTATCGCCAATTATAGAATTATTTGGAAAGGTTTTCAAAATAACTCTCAAAGTTTTTATACATATTTGTATGATAATTTAAATTATTGTGTTCAAAGTCAAGATGACCGAGTTGGTCTAAGGTGTTAGTTTCAAGTACTGGTCTGAGAGGACATGAGTTTGAATTTCATTCTTGACCTTCTGATGTTGTGGCTTCTGTTCCTGTTGGTAGTTTGTCAAAGCTGCCTTTGGCCTTTTTGTGGTACAACACTCCCATGACATGAAGTCATGAATGCGTATTCTTCATCATACAAAATTACCTAATTGCTAAATAACTATTAATTAATTAAGCTTGAATTAGGGTGAATATAATGCATGATTATTTGAAGAATGTTTGTATTAATGCACTTATGCAACTCACTTCAGTAATGCCTTGTTAAATATCTCATATCTGTTTTTGGTATTGTGCATTGCCATATAGCAAAGCATAAAGATTTAAAGTTGGTTTATTAACTAAGCAATGGTACCCGGGTTGGATTTTCATTTGGAAAGTTGTGAGTTCGAGCCTCAGTGGAGGCGTTATTAGCTCTTTGTGTTTCAGTAGGTTGAGAAAATATATGAACAGATACTACAATGTAATAGAGCTAGTAGCATTCAAAAAAAAAAAAAAAAAAAAAACTAATACATGTTTTTATTTTTCTAGAAATTAAAAAACAAAATATTTGTTTTTTTTTTTCAAAATTTTATTTTGTTACTACAATTTCTAGAAATTAAAAGCCAATTTTTTTTTTATTCCGTATAGTTATCAAATGTTTAAATCTTATATATACTTGAAGGTTTGTGTTATATATATATATATATATATATATATATATATATATATATATATATATATATATATATAGACACACACATTCGATTGCGCAAAATTAATTGATTATTCAAAAACATAGAATTAATTGTTAGCAAAATCATCTTACGAAAAAGATTATCTTTACCAAAAAAAAAAAAAAAAAACAAGTACAAGAATGAAAGGTTAAGTGGTTAGTACGAGTCGAGCGAAACACTATTTCCTTAATACCTTATTTGATACCTCCCAAAGGTGGTAAGAGCATTGTGGTCTAGGTTTCCCAAAATAAAACGTACTACGACTCAATGTTTGAGAACTCAAACAAGTGAGCCCGGCGAACAGAACACGGGTAGAACACAAAAATTTGAACAAAAACGTAGGCAATTGTTGTATGTCTTTAAAGTCGATCTGCTATTCAACCATGTTTATATAGGATATTCCTCCCAAATGCTCTGTCGGGTCGGGGTGTGGGGGGCCTTAGGGTTGGGGTTCAGCATTTTGGAAGAATGTTTATATAGGATATGAAGGATTAAATTGCATTAATTATGGTATTAAAACTGATAATAAAACCAGTCTTTGTAACCTTCAATGAAATTAAGTTGAACTTTATGTGTAAAATTATTTGTGATAGTGCATTACGTTTAAACTACAAATCTAAAGATCATTGGGGGATCCCACTACGGCAGTGTGAGGGTTCATATTTCACTAGGAATTTGGGAATCATTGGAAGACCTTGATTGATCAGATGTGATGAAGACTCTTTGTGCATAGAGTGTACAAGCAAGCTCTTGAGGTTGAATCTAATGTATTAAAAAAAAAATAGAAAAAAATGACAATTTTAGTCCATTAGTTATACCTAAATTATAGAGTCAGTCCATTAATTATCACTCTATACAAAGTTCCCCTATAATTATGTTGAAAGTTTTAGTTTCAATCTATAATTTATAGATTTTGTTAACATTAATAATTTATTTTAAAATTTCAAATTATTAAAGGATAAATTGGTCATTTCGTATTTTTTCAAATGCCCTCCCTAAGTCTTCATACGGTACTCTTATGCTAAAACTCTCGCTAAATACTGTCTTGATTGAGGAGGAATCTTAGAAGCAAAAATGACAAGCATGTAATTACTTAGGATTGAAGATACACAAAATTATAAATTTAATATGTTAGCTTATTACAATTTTTTATTTTGTTGTACGTAAATTACTCTTTTTGATATCTCATTGAGTTCATACCATAATGAGCAATACATGCAATTTAGTGATTTTAATATGTTAATTGATTGTGTGTACATATTTATACAAAAGGTGAATGCAATGAATTACTATTTTAATCTAAATAGTACGTGTGTATTATTGTATTTCGTTGGAGATGCAATCCTTATTTCACAATATCATGTTGTTGATTTTAGATTTTTTTTTTTTTTTTGAAAGCATTGGTTTTAGATTTAGTAGAAGGTGGGTGAATGAAATAATTATCTTTATTATTCTTTAGATGAAGTAAATATTGAGAAAAAAGACATACAAAGTATAATTATCTAGCTTGGAACATTAGAATTAACATATAGGGAGAAATGACTAAAAGATGAAATTGAAACTAGGTGGTAGTCTTGGATGTGCTAAAATAATTGAGATCAAATGGTGAAAATGAAAAATGAATTCCTAGTGATTTAGTTTTTTTAATATGAAGAGGATATGATGGTTTATATATAAAGATTTCATGGAGGGAGTTTATGGTTTATATATAAAGATTTCATGGAGGGAGTTTAAAAAAATTTTACGAAATAATTAATATATACTTTAATAATTTAGGAATTCAAAATAAATTATTAGTGATAACAAAATCTACTAGTGGATTAAATCTGCCAATTTCAACATACTTAAAAGGAAAAAAAAAATATAAGATAATAATTTATAGACTGGGTCTATAATTTATGTATAATTAGTCCAGATAGTCCACACAGCTATGTGGACCACGGTCCAAAATATCGTCGTAAATATTATGAGCACAAATAATGTACATTTTCTCTCTCTCAAAAAAAAATGTACATTATGTATTAGAATAATGTACATTACATGTTTAGAATAATGAAACATATGGGGTAACATAATACACATTATGTTTTAAAATAATGTACATTATGCTTTAGAATAATGTACATTATGCTTTAGAATAATGTACATTATGAGCTATAAAAATGTATGTTGCAGCTAAGCATGCGAAAAAAAATAAAATTACGCGAAACGACGTCATTTTTGGACCGTGGTCCACACAGCTGTGTGGACCACGGTCCTAAAACGACGTCGTTTCGCGCAATATTATTATTATTATTATTATTATTATTATTATTATTATTATTATTATTATTATTTTTCACGCGATCCGCTACAACATACATTTATCTCATAATGTACATTATTCTAACTCATAAAATACATTATCTTATCCCAGAAGTTTTATTATTCTGACACAAAATACATTATCTTAACATGTAAAATACATTATTTTAACTTATAAAATACATTATTTTAACTCATAATATTCAACGACGTTATTTTGAATCGTGATTTACACCGCTGTCTAGACTATAATTTACCTATAATTAATGGACTAAATCCGTCATATTTTTCCCAAAAATTAATAATAGTAATAATTGAGAGGCTTGTATCTTATCGTGCAGCATTTGAGACAAAACAATGAACACAAGTCCTGACAACACGAAGACATCCTACGGATTAATAGAGAGTGTAAAGATAATGTTGGAGTCTTTCGCTAGTCTTTGGGTTTGAACGTCCAAGATTGTTCACTTCACGAGGCCCAACGTTTAGGTCCATTTCAGCTGTTTCCTATTGCAACAGCTCAAAATCTCACTGCTCCCTCTCCCTCTTCCTCTCGTCTTCCATCTTCTTCCATTGGAATCTTGAAACCTAACCCTAAACTCTCAAAAACCCAGAATCGTTTAGTCATTTCAGTTCCCAAAAACACATTCTTTAATTCACCCCATTTTCTATCAGTTTTCTTTTGCTTTTGATCTGCCACTGGCTAAGTGGGTACCACCGGCTTTGATTTGATCACATGCTTGAGAGTTGAGACAGATTGATCAAGGGCAAGTGTTATCCCATCAGTCAAGAAGTAGGTATCTACCATATTCTTTTTTTTTTTTTTCTTTTAAAAAAAAAATATTTACACCTGTTGTTTTATCATATACTTTTCTTTAACAGTGTGTTATTTGTAAATTTTCTGAAAAAAAAAAAAAAAGAAGAAGAAGCTTGATTCTGTTCTTGCTAATTATTTCATAGTTTTGTAAAAAAAAAAAATGAAAATTTTCCTGTTTATTATTGCTTTATCTGGAAATGTGAGTCAAAACTGGTGAGATGCGTTCTGAAAGGGGAGGTTTGATAATTGGGTTTAGTATAGTATTGCCTTTTCATCATTTTATCATCCCAAATTGGGTGTAGTCTAGTGATCTCCAGTTCATATATAGCTAGGCCATGATTTATTCCAGGAATCAACCTCACCCTTTTGATTCTGGTACTTGGAGTCCAGAACCATGACATGAACCTGTTGGGCAGGGCCGGTAAAGGGGCTATGTGCCTATGTCTAGTACCCGGTGGCTGGGGATTGTTGGGCGGGGGCTGGTAAAGCCCCTACGGGCCAAGTCCAGCACTCAGCTTGTCTCAAATAAGTTGCGCCTTTATTACTAGCTATAGCTTTTGGTGTGAATGGTAAAAGCTTGATCCTAACAAGTGGTATCAGAATCAAGTTACGGGTTCGATTCCCTGCAATAACAATTGATAAAGGGGCTATGTCTAGGGTTTGAGCTTGTCTTGAACAACTTTTGGCGTGAGTGGTAAGCGCTTGATCCTAACAGAACCCTTTTGTTCTCTAATCATAAATGCCCTTTGTTTGTGGTTAGGCACCTAGGTTAGAGACAATATCATGGTATACTATGAACAGTTCACACTGTCAGAAAGCTGTTAGTCCATTACTATGTAAATGTTGAAATGGAACTTTTGACTTGTACCAAAAAGGGTATAGATTGCCATTCCATATTTCACTAGCAATTGCCCATAGCAGGGCCAGCTAAGATGCTTGTATTGTCGAACTATTGGGTGGAGCATTGCTAGTCTCTTTTCTTGAGTACTTGCTCTGTTGCTTAGTGATTTATTTGAGTTGAGAGTTTTTGCATTTTTTATAATCAATGACTATGTGGGCCCCATTTAAGCATCTTGTCCTGCTTTCTTATCTATTATATTTTCCCTTATGCAAGAAATCAAGAATAGTTGAACCACCATATAACTCAACTTGATCTTCCCATCTTGAAATAATTACAAGAAACCATTAACCATTGCCTTTTCTTAGTTTCTGTCACGTTCAAAGTGATATATTGTGCTAATTTTCCATCGGAGATAGTGAGGACAGGTGAAGGGTGGGCTTGATAGATAAGGTGATAAATAAGGTTTTGTAACGCGTTTTCAGCCTGATTGTTACATTAAACCATGATAGTCCCTACCTTAAAACTATGTTTGTTTCCATTCACTCTCTGAATGTCATCAACTTCTTGTTATTTTCGTGCATTCTGCCTTCTTTTATCACTGATGTAGTCAATGGAAAACTTATTAATAAGTTATAAGTATATCCAATAATTGTTATGTATTGTTTGAAGTTATACACTGTTAGGTGCATGTACTATTTGCGCCTAATGTAGAAGAGAGTTCCTCGGGGTAGGAGAGATTCATGCAGGTACCAAATCAGACAAGTGCAAGTAGAAAATTGGGACCACCCGAGCAGGAGAGGGGAGAAGGGGGGTTTATTAGTTGCCTGCTTTGTGGTTATTCTTGAATTTTCTTTGTATTTTTTTATGATGTGAAAATTTTTTCTTTAACCATTTTTGCAGCAGTTTAAGCCTACCGTTCTTTGGTTGCAGTGCAGGTGCCTTGAGCGCCAAGAGTTTTGGATTTGAAATGGAGTAGTTGTTATGACGATGGCTGAAAGTTGCGTGACGGGTTACAGCCCGAAAGTTCCCGTTGATACCAATAATTGGCCTAGCTTTAAGTTTCTTATGAACAGTGGTCATCTAGGATTCTTTTCTTTCTGTCCTCAACCAGTTTAAACCTTTTGTCCTAAATATACCTATCCTGCCTTTGAAGTTTGGCTCCAAAGGCTTTTGTCTGTGTATTCTTTGGCTTTGTTACTTTGATTTTGTTTTCCGTTTTTTGGCTTTTTATCTATTGGAAGGACTGCGGTTCCCTTAGGCTACATATATTGGTTTTGTAGCCAGCGTTTTAAAGTAGTATAGAGAAGATGGCGTTTTATTCTGAAGACGAACAACCTGAAGATTACCTTTTCAAGATTGTTTTGGTCGGTGAATCGGCTGTTGGGAAATCTAATTTGCTTGCTAGATTTGCTAGAGATGAGTTTTATCCTAACTCGAAATCGACTATTGGAGTCGAATTCCAGACGCAGAAGATGATAATAAATGGGAAGGAAGTTAAGGCCCAGATATGGGATACGGCGGGACAGGAACGGTTTAGGGCTGTCACGTCTGCTTATTACAGGGGTGCGGTTGGCGCTCTTCTGGTTTATGACATCAGCAGACGGCCGACTTTCGAGAGCATTGGACGATGGCTTAATGAACTCCAAAGTAAGCAATTTCGTTCTTGTTTTGTGTCTTATGCTCGGTTTTATGACATTTTGACTTGCGTTTATTTTAGTACTGACTCTGTTAGTTTCTCAACTTACTGAAGTTACAAAGAGTCAATATCACCTCCATTGAGACTCGAACCTATGACCTCTCATATGGGAGGGTCACTTCGTGCCACTAGACCATAAGGTCATTGGCAGTTAGCCATTTGATTACTTACTACAGGATTATACATTTCGGTGAATTGCATTTCGTTGTGATTGATATGTTTGCTGCTGACTTTCCGAGCAGCTCACTCGGACATGAATGTGGTGACAATACTTGTTGGCAACAAATCTGACCTGAAGGACGCCCGGGAAGTGACCACCGCTGAAGGCAAAGACTTGGCCGAGGCAGAGGGTTTGTTTTTTATCGAAACTTCAGCTCTCGATTCCTCAAACGTGGCTTCTGCTTTCCAAATGGTCGTTAGGGAAATCTACAACATTTTGAGCCGGAAAGTGATGCAATCTCAAGAGATCCAACACAAAGACTCTGGCCGTCTAGCGAATGGGAAAACAGTAGTTTTGCAGGGTGGTGGAGATCAAGAAGCGGAGGGAGAGGAAGCGAAAAGCGGGTGCTGTTAAGTCCCTCCCTACATGAAAAGCGTTTCTTCCCCGTTTTAATACAGAGTTTTGTTATGGTTGCAAGCAGTGATGGACATGTAATTTCCAGCTATTGATGAACTGTGTTGTAGAATGTAAATTTATCACAAGGTTGAAGAAACGTTTTCGGGTGGTATTTAGTACTGTACATGAATTTCTGTAAAATTCATCTTCTTCTGTTGCTTATTCCTTTCCATCTTTATGTTGCAAACATGCCTTTTTTTTTTCTTTTTTTTTTTTTGGGATCTCAATCATCTCGTACTATAGTATATAAGGAAATTCCGTAGGGGTTATAGGTCCCTAAATGTAAATACACATTTATGTACGAGTTTATTATCTAAATGGTTGCTCGACTATTGTAAAATTACTAATTTGGTCATCGACAATTTTTCGTGTCCAATTAAGTCTTTGACTTTGAAAATTTTAACCATTTTGATCCTCTATTAGGTTAGGCGTTAGAAGTCCGTTAAATTAGAGGGCATTGATGGAATGTCACATGAGAAGATCACTGTTTCTCGCCGGCGACCGCCCAATCCTTCGCGTACAACACTATCCAGAAGAGCCTCCTTCGCAACCACGGCTTCGATTGCTTGGAAAAAAGAGCCCAAGATTCTCCAGCTCTTCCCCGGCGCCACCAACATCCTCCAGCTGTTCAAGGTGTACGAAGATGATGAGGATTACCTCCACTTGGTCACCGAGCTCTGCGACTGCGGCGGTCTCTAAGAGAGGGTGTCACGGGGGCTGCTGTTGGAGCCCGTGGTCGCCGTCGTTTTCCAGCAGCTAAAGTCCGCGATCAGCTGCTGCCACCACGTCATCGTCGCACACCGGGACGTGAAGCCCGACAACATGCTGTTCGACGCGCAGGGGAACCTTAAACTCGCCGACTTCGGGTTGACGGAGTGGTTCGGATGGTGCGACGACAGCCGGATGTCGGTGGTGGTCGAGACGCCGTACTACGCGACCCTGGAGGTGTTGATGCGGCAGGAGTACAATGAGAAGGTGGACGTCTGGAGCGCGGGGGTGATTCTGTACATAATGCTCGTCGGAGTTCCGACGTTCCGCAGTGATACTACGACGAAGACGTTTGAGACGATTCTGAGGGCAAACTTGAGATTTCCCGCTAAGATTTTCCGGTCAGTTTCCCTGGAAGCTTAAGGATCTACTAAGAAAGATGATCTGCAGATGGTTCTTCTCAAATTGAAATTGGTTAATCAATTAAATAATATAGGAAATGAGTATTCTCATGTGAAATTCCATCAATGCCCTCTAATTTAACGGACTTCTAACGCCTGACCTAACGGAGGACCAAAATGGTTAACATTTTCAAAGTCGAGGATTTAATTGGGCACGAAATTGTCGAAGATCAAATTGATAATTTTACAATAGTTGAGGGACCATTTCGATAATAAACTTTTTATGTACTTTATCCTTTAATACGTCTAACAAATACTGGAAAATAAAAAGATATGGGTCCTTTATATGAGGACAATAGTTTTGAGAATTTATTTTATTATTGATCAATTCATATGAAGTAAAGTACATGATGAAGAGATTATTTATAAGGATACAAAGAGTAAGTGTCGAGATAAATAATATAGGGAGAGGGATAATGAATTTTAGTGTGCCTAGAATACAGAATCCTAATACGCCCCTCAAACTTAAGGTTCTCTAGTGAGAACATTAAGCTTGTCCCTTACACCATTTAGCATTGAGCTTGTCCCTTACATCATTTACTTTTGTTGTGATTAATGACTTGGTGAAGATGTCTGCTAGTTGATTTTTTGTAGACCTGTAGTTTTCTTGTAGTTCCTTTGATGCTACTTTGTCACGAACAAAATAAAAGAATCTTAACGGATCAAATTTTCGGTTGCAGGATCGGCTACAACGGAACACTCATCCGGAGTGTAGCTACAACGGACACTCATCCAGAGCGCGGCTACAATAGGACACTCATCCAAAGCCTGAGATTTTGACCACGCAGAAATGAGAGAAATGGAACAAGTTGAATCTTCCATAACAAATAGTTTGAGGAAGTATGTTTAATGGAGATAAAATGATGGACTATTTGCAGGGTTTTATTGGAAAAAGTATATGATGAAAAGATGTATTTTATAAGGATACAAAAGAATCACAGTTAGAATATGAATGATAAATGATAATATTACTAATAATAATATAAGGAAAGAATGAATTTTAGTGTGCCTAAAATATAGAGTCATAATACTTTTAAAATAAACCTTCACCAAAACGAGTCTTTTGCTTGTCATTTTCAAAAAAATTATATTTCAAATACACCAAGCCTTTTGATTGTCATTTTCTCTAGATCGACAATTAAGAGGAATATGGTCGCCTCTTTCTCTTTTTTTTTTTTCTTTTTTTTTTTTAAATATTTATTATAGATAGAATTAATTAATCTTGATGGTTCGAATTAACCAAAATCAATAATTAAATGAATAGATAGTAAAGACAAAGTATTGAACTTAAGGAGACAATTGTATTGTATTAAGAACTCTTGTAATGTGATTAAAATTTTGTGATGTCTTAACAAAGACAAAGAGAAAATATATACTAAATTCGTTCGTAACGTCCCAATAAATGGGTGAGCGGTTAGCGCCATTTGATCGCGTTCGTCTACTGCACCCGCTCTCGGTTCCAAGGCCGCGTGCCGAGCTCGGCCTTAAGGCCATGAGACTGGCTGTAGGGCCAACCACGGGAGTTGGTTCTGGTTGCCTTTCTCTGCCTCCTAGGATCAATTTGCTCCGGACCTGCTCCCAATATATTCATCAATTATTTTTATAAATATAAAGATAAAACTTTTAATTTGACATATGGAAGTAACATCAACCTTAAAAGTTATATAAATGACATGTCAATGATATTATTGAAATGGTTTGCAATGATATTTAATTGTATCTAGTATTATTTGAAACCCTTTCTATTAATATGAAGTTGCACCTAGTACTATTAAAAACCATTCTAATAATATTTTGCATTTGTGCGCAATCCATGATTTTACCTAGTATTATAGGAAATGATTTTCAATAATACAAGGTACAATTGATAATGCACAAAATGAACAAACTTTTGCTCATATTTGGTTATTAAGTTGTGTCTTATCTTCATGATTATATTTTGTGCTTAATGATTAAGTTTATTATATTTTAATTGAAGGATATTTTAATGCATGATTTAAATGACTTTTGATATGTTTTGAATGGTCCTTTTGATGTTGGTAATTGGTAAACCATTACAGAGTCAAAACAAAATATTGTAAAATTATATTTTTGTCTAAATTGACATTTTTCAGTATTTTGATCATAACTTGATGTAAAGAGGTCTAATTAGGATGTGTTTAATGGCATTGGAAAGCTAGCTTAAAGGAATACAACTCTTATGAAGACTACATAGTCAAATTTTGAAGATAAAAGGCTCAAAATCATTATGAAAGTCAAAGTTGTGCATCATAGTACTCTTACAGGGCGTTTGGTTGGAGGGATTTTAAATTCCCTTCCCACTTAATTCTCACCTAATTCCAAAGGCCATTAAATTCCGTAGTTTGGTTGGAGGGAATTGCAATTCCCCCATTTTCATGGAATTAAAATCTCATGTCCCCCTGGTATTTTAATTCCTGGGAAAAAAAGATATTGATGAGTCAAAATTACCCCTTCCTTTTTTAACCTAAAATTAATGTCTAACAACAATAATGGACATTTTTGACTTTATACTACTTATTCCCTTTTAATTCCCATGTATACCAAATATTGAAATTGAAATTCCCAGTAATTCTATTCCTGTCAACCAAACACTGGAATTTAAATTCCACTTTATTCCCAGTAATTCAACTCCCATGCAATTACAATTCCTTTCCCACATAATTCCCCCCTCCAACCAAACGCCCTGTTAGTGCCACAAGAATCCTTCTTGCCACAGCGAAAGTGGGTAGAATGGTAGAAATGTTCTTCTGTAGTGGTTCAATGTAGCGAGGTGCTCCAAATATATATATATATATATATATATATTGTGTAAAAATGTATTTTTTGTCAATTCGTTTGCTCACCTATAAATATTTTTAATTCTCCCATTTGAGAACCCTAAGCAGTCCATTTCCCCTTCCCCTTTTGCTCTAAAAAATCTCTTCCAAAATGTGGTCACAAAGGAGGAATTCTTGCTACATTAGGATTAGTTTAGTTTTTATTTTGTAATAAGAAAAGAACATATGCAAGATTCGGGTTTCAATCGTAGGATTGAGGAGAAAGAAAAAGCAATGGGTATTTCTTTCCTTTCTTTCCTTCATGGTTGTAATAGGCGCTAAGCGCTAGTCGTGCGGTAAAGTAGTGCTTAGTGTCTAAACAGCACGCGCGCGCGCACACACACACATATATATTATAATATGAAAAAAAAATTAGCAAGATCGAGTTAATGGACTATGCTTACTTCACAGCTTCCATGGGATCTCAGGATTGGACTATGCTTAATTACTTCCCAGCTTTCTAGGGAGTCATCCATCCTGGGATCTCAAGGCTACACTATGCTTACTTTCAGGGAGTCACCCATCATGGGATCTCAGGGTTGCACTATGCTTAATTCTCGGGGGTCACCCATCTTGGGATCTCAGGGCTAGGGGTTCACCCATCCTAGGATCTCAAGGCTGCACTATGCTTATCCCATCATAGGATCCTGGGATCCCAGTACTATACTCAAGGCATCCCTCCCGGGGGTCACCCATCCTGGGATCTCAAGGTTGTACTATGCTTATCCCATCCTGGGATCCCAGTACTATGCTCAGGGCTTCCCAGCTTTCTCAGGGGATCTCAGGGCTGCATTATGTTTACTTAAGGGGCCACCCATCGTGGGATCTCAAAGTTGCACTATTTTTACTTCCCAGCTTAGCTTCCCAGGGAATCACCTATCTTGGGATCTCAAAGCTGCACTATGCTTACTTCCTAAGGAGTTTAGGGTTGCACATTGCTTAATTCCCAGGGGGTCACCCATCTTAGGATCTCAAGGCTGCTTACTTAAGGGCATGGTTGCAGTAGGCGCTAGGTGCTAATCAAGCGGTAGAATAGTACCTAGTGTCTAGACGACATAGGTCGCTTATGCGGCTAACTAAAAAAAAAAAAAAAAAACATCGACCGAGTTAAGCGCTTAATTCTCAGGAGTCACCCATCCTAGGATCTCAAGATTGCACTATGCTTACCCCATCCTGGGATCCCAGTACTATGCTCAGGGCTACACTATGCTTACTTCCCAACTTTTTAGGGAGTCACCCATCCCATGTTACTCGTAGGGGGTCACCCATCCTGTGAGTTTTGTAAGTCAAGCACACTTAACCACTTAATTCTTTGACTATCTGGTTGTCATATCCTACTTAAAATCAATTAGTGATAAATCAATTAGTGATAAGTAGGTGGACATTAATCGTTAAATCACATCCCTCAATGGTAAGCCACAGCGTCACGTCTCGAATCGAGTAGGGGTTGAACTCGGCCAATTCGACCGACGCCCAACAACCCCGATGATCTCAAAAGAGCCCTCTTAGACTAGCCAAGCCCAAGCCACTTAACCTTGCCCCGTCCGTGTTAAGTTTGATTTAACCAATCCTTGGCGGCGTCCACCTAACACACCTCGAGCTACATTAGTCAAATTTGTCTTTGTTGCCCAAAAGATTATAGGAGTCTCGAGCAAGACACTCAACTCTTCTAATAACCTCCGGCATATTATTCCAAGTTTGTCTAAACTCTGAACACCCACTCATTTCTCGCCTTCCAAATTTTCCAAAAAATACAGACGAACATAGTCGACTAGTTTGTATTGCCTTGGAAACTGGAGTCCCTATCGCAATTGGCTAGTCTAGGAGGGCTGCTTCGAGATCATCGGGGTTGTTAGGCGTCAACTGGGTTGGCTGAGTTCAGCCCTTGCTCGATTCAATACGTGGTGTTGTGGCTTACCATGAAGGGATGTGGTTAAATGATTAATGTCCACCTACTTATTAATTAATAGCCAAAAATTCTATGATTAAACATGCTTGAGTTACATAGTCACAAGTTGAGATCCATTAGTTTATTTTAAAAAGATGAAGTTGGAGATATATACCATTTTATCATTTGATGGTGCTTTAATTTCATTCTTCATCTTAAAACCATATTCCTATTTTAATATTTTAATTTCAAAAATGTAAAAATTATGAGCCAAATGCAAATGCTAGTTTGTACCTAAAACCAAATAATGAACAATGAATACTTCTTTTGTTCAATTTTGTGTCTATTTACCTTTCAAATTTTCATGTAGTAGGTATAGATTTGGAAGAATGTATTATGTATAGATTTACAATTACAATTTAATTTTTCTTGATAATTAGTTTAACATTAATATATTAATATATAAAATTTATATATTTAAAAATTACAATAGAAAATTAAATTAGTGAAAATGCAAACTATTTTTGAAAGGTTTGTATAAACGAGCCGAGTCGAACTCAAAAATTAAAATTCGAGCTCAGCTCAATTATGAAACGAGCCGACTCAAATTCAACTCGAGCTCAAAATTGATTGAGCTCGAAGCGAGTTTGATCGACTATATATATATATATATATATATATATATATATGACTCGCAAGCGGCTCGATAAGCCATGAACCTAAAACATTTGAGCTCGAGCTCAAGTTCTAACCGAGCGACAAGCAAGCTACTCGGCTCATTTAGGTTTCAACAATAAATAAAAGAAAATCAAACAAAACACTGAAAGTTGTTTCCCTTTCTCATAATAAAAAATGTCTTACAATATACAATTATAATGACAAATCAACATTCCCAAAAAGAACAAAAAACATTACAAACACATGAAAGAAATAATACAATATAATATAGATAAAAATGACTAAATCTACTTTCTTGACTTGCTGTGATGTGCATGGTACAATAATCTTAAGTGTGTTCTGCTATCCAATTTTACATCTCAATTCTCAACCTTATAATCAGGGCAAAACCAAAACAAAAAACTTGATCCTATCTCCCAGTAAAACCGCATATTCGTATCGTAAATGTTCTTTGAGATAAGTTCTAAGCGAGGCTCTTGAATTAGCTCTAAGTTTATGTACCTCTATCCCGAAGTCTTCCTCCGCAGCTGATTGAAATAATCAAAATCTTTAATTTTGCATGAAAACATAATTTCGACTTGTAATCAACATTGGAATCCCACACAGGATTGCTAGGCAGCGATTCCTGTGACATAATAAAAAAGAGGGCAAGTGTCACGAAGAGATAAACTAGTAAAGCCAAATGTAAGATGAGCAAAAGAAATTCTGGTACCTGTATTTGATCTATTTGTAATACTATAAGCACCAACATAATCAATTGAGTTTTTAGGTATAACATCCGAAGCCATATTTCCAAGCCCATAGCGGAAAGAACCAGAACCCTCCAGCTCGGGAGATAGTGAATGCCAGGTTTGGTCCTCAAAGAACGAACCATTTCCAGTCCCGTACAAGCTTCCAAAATTTGGAGAACGAACATCTCCTGTTGCAGTAAGAGTGGATGTTTCACCAGCAGTGTTACCATTACCATTATAGGGTCCATACCCTCCAACACCAGCATTGTTGTAGCCGATATGGTCATTCCCAGAAGAACCGTTCCTTCCACCTTGACCAGAAAGAATAGATGAATCCCAAATTGTTTCAAGGGGGGGGCCTCCAAAAGCAGCAGAGAATCCAGTATTGCCACTTCCTAAGCCAACAAAATTGTTAAAATTAGCGGGGGACTGTGTACTATAATTAAGAGTGCCATTGTCCAATATGTTCTGAACTGTCGAATTCAACATAAGACCATTTCCAATCCTCCCAGAGGGATATCCCATTAGACCATTTAGCCTGGCTGAATTCCCACCATAAATACGTCCATACCCAAGGTTAGGACTAAAGTTCCCACCTCCCCCGTTATTTGAATTCAGTGTCGAGTCTAAAAGTCCCATTGAGTAGCTCGAAGGATTAAACGAAGAATATCTGTTTTGACCAATGGCAGTTGGATTAATTCTATCCATTCTTACTCCATAACTTCCAATTGAACTTGGACCGTAACCTTGATTGTAAGGACTGAGGAGATTTTGTACTCTGTTCAAGCCACCAAAGTTATATGGTCCTAATGGACTTCGGATTGGCCCTGGAGATTGCTCCTTAGGAACAGCTCGCTTTACCTCAACCATTTTGCCATTAAGTTCATGAAACGTTTTGTACAAAACTTTATCCACTGCTTCCTCCGAGTCGTAAGTAATAAATCCAAATCCCCTAGGCCTTTGTGTGTTGTGGTCATACATCACCACGACATCCGTGATCATCCCAAATTGATCAAAGTACCTCTTGAAATCACTCTCGGTAACTGAAGATGCCAAACCTCCCACAAAAATCTTCTTTGTGCGAATGGAACCTGGTGAAGACTGCATAACTCCACTATTTCTGTTCCCATGGTGGTCATCCCTAGGTACAGCCTTCTTTGCCTCTACCTGGTGTCATAAGTAGGTCAAAGAAAAAAGGGAAAAGAGATAAGTTCACGCCCCAAAATCTGAAGATCAAATTGGTAAATGGCTGTTAGCTGATTGGGTTAATTAGAGGGTATAACTAGTTGATAACATTACCTGATTGCAGAAAGGTGTTTGATAAATTAGCAGTTAGCTGATAGCTGTTTTGTATAATTTTATTTCTCAAAAAGCTAATTAACCAAACACTTATATTGATTTTTAACCAAGCCAAACAATTAATAATGGTCAAATAAGCCAAAATTGGCTAATAGGCTAACTGTTTACCAAATAGGGCCAATAACTTAATATGTTTCCTTTACTCTAAGGCCATACACAACCGAGTAAAATGGAAAAATAGACTAGATGACAAAATAAACTGAACCACATTCTAAATAAAAGTCAGTCCAATATACATGTAACAGATGAGTTAGACTAATAGTGCATTGCTTCTGTCTAGTTTAGGTACTTCCATGCCTCCTTAATGAGGCACGTGTTGAACAATTACAAGCCTCAGTGTTAAATTTTTACCAATGCAATCACTGAATTTCTTAAGCCAGACAACGAACTAGCATGCCGCTAAGTATTGATTTATGAAAGATAACCCATACTAAATAGTTCAATGAGATTGTCAAAGAACCTATGACAGAACAAAATTAAGTAGCAATAATTACAAAACAACACTTACGGTTCTTCCATCAATCATGTGTTTTTCCTTGACAACTCTTTCAGCAACAGAAGGATCAGCAAAAACAACAAAACCAAAACCACGGGCACGACCAGTGGTTCGATCTTTCATGATCACTGCCTCAACTATTTCACCAAATGCTTGGAAATACTCTCGGAGACCATCTTCATTGGTGTCCCAAGAAATTCCACCAACAAATAATTTTCCAGGCTCCATTTTCAATCTGCAAATAGCAATTACAATCATCCCACATGACAACAAAAACGGATAGACGCAAACACTGAGCAGATCAAATTTACCAAATGAAAATTCCCTTTCCCTACAAAATCAAAATCTCTAGCTAACCAGAAAGGGCATAATAAAGGATCTAACCACTTAAGGACAAATTTGATTAGCAACCAGTAATTCCAAGATTGAACTCAAGCTTTTCTTATAACCATCTCAGCCAAGAACCTATTGACTCATCAACCAAGCGAATGTAATATGAAATGTCAAAATGCAGAATATGCGACAAGAACATCATAGAAAACAACAGAAGCTACCAAAATTAAAAATATTCAAACAATCAGACAAAACAAAATATAGAATCAACGAATCAGGAAAAAGACTATTCGATCTCCAATGGATAAAATGAAATAAAATCAAAAGACCCTGATCAAGGATCCCTTAAGGATCAAGAAAGTCTTATTTTTGACGTGAACCGATCAACAATAAGCCGATATACAATTATACAAGGAAGTTAAGCGCTTAGAATTACCAAACGGAGAAGACCCAGATGACAAATGAATAGAATTCAAGATCTGAAGCGAGGCATATATAGAGAAGAGGGCTAGAAAGGCCCTCTCTTTTCCTCTCGCTTTCTTTGCTTTTTCTCCTATATATATTTACCCTTTGGCTCAATTGCCCCAGTAAATATATAGACAGAAAGAGAGAGAAAGAGACATAAAAGGGAGAGAGAGAGAGAATTTCTAGCAAACAAGCAACGGAGAGGAAGGAGAAAATGTGGTTTGAGAATATTAATTTACAATTTTAAGGTTAACACCATTTATATCTTAATTATATATGGGTAGTGTGTTTTGTACGAGAGAGACCCTAAAGCTATCCTCTATGGTGGAAGTTGGGAAACGATCGAAGATGGTGACTTGCTATTTCTCTTCTTTTTTTTTTTTTTTTAATAATCTAAGTTTCTGACAATATCGAACTATAGTAATTGTATTGAATGAGATTTATTACAATAGGTACAAACTATATGAATATATATAAAAGAGAATCACAGGAAATTAGGATAGCGAGTTATAATCTAACTCAAATACATAGAATCCTAATAATCCCCATCAAACACAGGGTACATTAGAAATCTATAATTTGTATCTAAGAAAAGAAAATCTAGAATCAGGTAGGACATTCCTAAAGATGTCTGCAAGCTGATCTTTATAGAAATAAAGTTAACTCGAATGTTTTCACTCTATCTCTAACAAAATGATAATCAATCTCTACGTGCCTGGTGCGAGCATGAAATATAGGATTTGCACACATGTATGTGGCACCAAGATTATCAAACCATAGTTTTGGAATAGAAATACATGGAACCTTCTCGTGAAGCAGTGGTAGAATCCATATTACCTCAACACAAACATCTACTAGTACTTTGTATTCAGCCTCAGTAGAAGATCTAGCAACAGTTCTTTGTTTCTTGTAGACCCAAGAAACAAGGTTGGACCCAAGAAACACAGCATAACCACTAGTAGACTTACGGTCTTTAGGACAGCCAACCCGGTCAGAATTAGAGAAGGCATGAAGGTCTCTTGATACTGATTTTCGCATACATAAGCCAAATTAAAAGTGAGAGTTCCTTATACCACCTCAATACACGTTTCAGTTGCTCCCAATGTGACCCCGTTGGAGCATGCATGTGCTGGCATAGTTGGTTGACTGCAAATGACAGGTCAGGTCGCATGATAGTTAGGTATTGTAATGTTCCAGCCAAGCTCTTGTACTGCGTAGGATCATCATACAAATCTGCATTGAATGAGATAGATTTTGAAACAGGAATAAGAGCAGATAGAGGCTTGCATTCTGTCATCCTAGCTCGTTTCAAAAGATCATTCATGTATCTATGTTGAGATAGATAGTAAAATCTCATCATCACATCTAACAGTTTCAATGTCAAGGAAAAAATTTGGTTCACCAAGATCCCTAATCATGAAAACAGTGAATAATTTTGACAGTAACTGAGTTACAAGATTCTGATCACTTCACATCACAAGTATGTCATCAACATAGACCAAAAGATACACATATGTAGAATTCTATGAGTAATAAAATAAAAACACATATTTCTTTGATGCTTGAAATCCAACAGATGTCAAGAAAGTATGTAACTGGTTAAACCAGGCTCTGGGTACCTATTTTAGACCATACAATGATCTTTTTAACAGACAAACATGGTTAGGAAACTAAGTATCAATGTAACCAGGTGGTTGTTTCATGTACACAGTTTCAGTTAGATTCTCGTTTAAAAAGGCATTGTGAACATCAAGTTGCCTAACAACCCAACTAGAGGATATAGCCAAATTAAAGAAAGAAGTATTCATACAGTAATTAGTTTTACCACTGGACTAAATGTGTCGAAAAAATCCTGACCAGGAACCTGATTAAATCCCTTTGCTACTAACATTGCCTTGTGCCTCTCAATTGAACCATCTGCCTTTCGTTTGGTTCAAAAAACCCATTTACATCCAATTACATTCACATCAGAACAGGAAGGAACAAAACACTAAGTATGATTCTGTAATAAAACATTAAACTCTTTATCCATTGCTTCACGTCATTCTGGGTATTTAACTACCTATGTATAACAAGTAGGATCAGTGGAGCAAACCTGTGCAGCCAATGCCGTAGGAGGAGTCTGAGATCGACTCCGAGCCTCCATGGCATGTGACCGAATCATTGGTCGGGTGGACATTCCTCATGGGCGGCCACGGCGCCGGGTGGCTACTGCAAGTAGTGCAGTCGGCAAGGATAGGGCAAAATGCACTGGTTCCGCAGCCACGCTGCTGGCCAGTTGTAGTAAAATCTCATCATCACATCTAACAGGTGTAAGCTGCATGACCATGATTCCTGCAAAGCATTTTTAGTAGCAAAGGGAAAAACTGCCTCATCAAATATGATATGCCTGCACACAAAAATCTTATTAGTCTGTAAGTCCATGCACCTATACCTTAAAAAAGACTTAGGATAACCTAAGAAAACACAAGGTGAGGAACGTAAAACATTTAGTGATGATTGGAGGGTCTTAAATGGGGATAACATAAACAACCAAAGACATGTAGAAAGGAATAAGACAGAGGGGATTTATGCAAGAGAAGATGAGGACTGGAGTTATTCAAAACAGTAGATGAAATTTTATTGATTAAATAAACAGCAGTCTCAAAAGTAAAATTTCAGAATTTAGAAGGAACATAGGCATGAGCCATCAGGGTTAAACTAGTTTCGACAATATGTCTGTGTTTTCTTTCAACACGACCATTCTGTTCATTAGTGTATGCACAAGATTGTCTATGGTTGATTCCTAATTGAGCTAACGAAGAATGTAGCTTTTTGTACACTGCTCCTATATCAGACTGAATAGACTTGATTTTACAATTGAATGAACGTTCAACCAAAACACGAAACTTTTCAAACATGACATAGAGATCAGATTTTTGTTTCATGGGAAAATACCAAGTAAAGCAAGAGTAATCATCCACGAAGATAACAAAATACAAATAACCATCAACAGATAACGTAGGAGCTGAACCCCACATATCAGTGTATATTAAATCAAGAATTTGCGAATTAGAAGACTCAACACGTGGCAAAGGGAAGCGTGCAGACTTTCCCAATTGACATGCATTACACAAGTTCAAAATACAAAGAATAATATTACTGGACCCACTAACCAAACAAGACTGTAAAATACGACTAAGGACACGATAGTGTGGATGACCCAAACGATCATGCCAAACTGACGCAGACGCACGAGCTGGAAAAAAAAAAAAAAAAAAGTGAACTCGAGACTGGCAGACTGTACAGCTCCCGGAACTATTGCCCCGTGGTAGAATTTCCTTGGTGTTGATATCCTTCACAATAAAGAAAGATAGTGAAACTCAAAAAATACTTTATTATCTAGCGCGAATTTTTGAACGGATAATAAAGAAGTAGAAAGAGTAGGAACATGAAGAATATCAGACAATTGAAACGAACTATAAGGGGTAGAAAAGGAAGCATGACCAACACGACTAATAGATAAACTCTTACCATCACCAACACGTAATGTGTCATTACCCTTATACTCCTCTGAGATAGAAAGGGCTACTATATCTAGAGTGGCAAGATTGGTTGCACCCTTGTCTGGGAACCAGGTATGAGAACCCTGGTTCGAATATGAAGGAGGATCCTGATAAACCATATGAGCCTGAGGGTCCTTAGCATATCGATTGTAGCAAGTAACAGCGGTATGACCAAGAACCCCACATATTTGATACTTAGGCTGCCAATTGTTGTTCCGACCACCACAGCCTCGTCCGCCACCATCGCGGTTCCGACCGCCACCTCCACCATGCGACTAACCGCCGCTATTCTGCCCGGAGTTGCGATCGCCACCACCACGCGATTGCCCACCCCGTCACTACTGTCCGCCGCAGCACTGAGCCGCAAAGGCAGCCGGCGAACCGTGATCGTTGCCTGTGATGAATTCTTCCGCCCCCAAGAAGTCCGCCAACTCTTGGAGAGTATCCGACTACCCACAGATGTTGAGAGATGACGTTAATCTGTGGAACTCAGGCCGTAAACCCTTAGGGTGTTTGGTTGGAAGGAAGGAATTAGGGGGAAAATGAATTGTAATTCGATGGGAAAAGAATAAGGTGGGAATAAAGTAGGAATTCAAATTACGTTGTTTGGTAGGGAGAAATAGAATTATTGGAATTGAGAAAGAAAGAAGTGGGATAAAGACTAAAATATCCTTGTGTAATAATAATAACCAAGTGTAGTAGTGTCATTTCATATATTTTTCCTTTCTAACATCCATTGAATTGCAATTCATTGGGGTACTCCATGAATTACAATTCAACAAAAGGAGGGAATTGCAATTCTGTGGAATTACAATTCCCCCCCAACCAAACAACGTAATTGAGGCATCGATTGAATTCCAATTCAACTACAACTAAATTACAATGAACCAAACAGGCACTGAAGACGTAGAGATTTTGTTCTTCAAGGGATATCGGATGACCGGCGAGAGCAAGGTCCTCCACTAAGAACCACGCTCGTCCAATATAGTCCACAACCGAAGAATCGCATTGTCGAAGTAATTGTAGCTGACCGAGAAGGTTCAAAGACCGAGCTCGGGATGACGATGCCAGGGAGCATACGACGGCTTCCTACGCCGCCTTGATTGTGCGATGTCCGATCACCAACGACATAAACTCCTCTGATAAAGAAGACATAATCATGGAGAGAAGAGCCTGATCCTGGCGAACCCAAGCGGTATGAGTCGGGTTCGGTTGCGCCGGTGTGCCGTTGTCGCCCGTAGGGAGGAAACCGGGCGGACAAGGGTTCGTGTCATCAACAAAACCCATCAAGTCATGTCCGCAGAGAAAATGAACAACCTTAGCTTGCCAAAACAGGAAGTTCTATGTCAGTTTAATACTGATGAAGTGGTGGGCGGTGGATAAAGAGCTCACGACCGAGGTGACTGGAGAGATAACAATATTAGAGACAGTCCGTTATGAGGAATTAACAGATCCGTCAGCCATGGGAAAGAATCCCTAGCTAGCTGATAACCGATGAGAACTGTATGAATTGTATTGAATGAGATTTATTACAATAGGTACAGACTATAGGAATATATACAAGAGAGAATCACAGGAAGATTAGGATAGGGAGTTATAATCTAACTCAAATACATAGAGTCCTAATAGTTATATAATAGATCATAGTCTACACAACATTATA